AGGGGACAGCCTCACCGCCGGTCCCGTCCGTCCCGGGCCGCCGCAGGTCGCCAGGGGCGGGCCGAGGTGTGCGGGGCGGGGCCGGCACCGCCCGAGCCCCCGGTCCCTCCGCCCCAGCGAGGGCAGGGAGCCTCAGCTCATCCTCAGCTCCGCTATCTATCCCCCTTCTCTCTGCTTTCACCAGCGCCTCTCCATCGTCTCCCCCCGGCCTCGGCCGTGCCGCTGGTCCGCACCCGCATCCCCTGGGTTACAGAGGTTGGGGTTCAAACTGTGATGTGAAAAAGGAAAGTATTCCCTTCCCCCCGCCTCAGCTTTTTCCTGCAGCCTGGCAGGCTAAGGACACACGGTTTGATGGTGATGGCTGCTTTTTCTTATCATTGGAGACTAGCTGAAGTTTCCACATAGTTACAAAGTTCCAGGTTATGGATTTTTAAAAAGTGGCAGTCAATCCACCCACTAATATAACCTCAGGATAAAGTAGTAGGAWCGAGTTAGGAACAATCCTCTTACTCTGTCTCTTCTTTTGGCCTCCAAGGCCCCCCGCTCTCTGCTGAGTCTTGATTCACTCACAACAGGTAAAGCCAGAAGCTGTGGGTCCAGTGCTGCAGACAGTCATTCCACAGCCTTGGTGACCATCCCATCCCATCCCATCCCATCCCATCCCATCCCATCCCATCCCATCCCATCCCATCCCATCCCATCCCAATCCCACCTCTCGAGGAACTCGAGGAACATGCCCAAGGCTGACTGCACCTAGTTCAGGGGGCCAGAGGGAACGATGAAGAAAAAACTCCTTAGCTCCCTGTCCTCAGGCTGGGTTAAACATCTGGGTAGTCCCAAAGATCAGGGGGCAGTAGTAAAAGCAAGGAAAGAGGTTTTCTGGATCAAGGCCCAAAGTAAAAAGCTTTTTCTAGGCRCTAGAGTACATGTGTTTTCCAGCCCAGACACAGACACACGCACTCCTCCCACRCATCTGACTCTCATTCCAGGCCCCAGTGCTTTATCCCAGGGCGAGAAGCTGCATTTGGGAGCGCTGCCCAGACACAGAGCCAAAGAAACTTTGCTGGCAACTGTCTGAAAGGTTTTTTTTTTAATTTGTTTTCTCTCTGCTTTGGGGCGGTTTCCTACTCTCCRTGGCCATCCCGTGGCAGCCTGCAGCTCTCAGGATATCCGACCGGCTGGGCGAGACTGTGATTCAGCCCCAAAGCGTCTGACACCGGCGGGGATGGCGTCACCGTCCCACGCTGCAGCCAGTTCGTGCCGTGGGGACCTCTGCCTTCCAGCTCTCTCTTCAGTTTTGAAGGGACATCAGCATTTTTTTGCAGTGACTGAGGTTGTTTTGCTCGGGTTTATAATTTCACCTTTGTCTTCTCGAAGGAAAAGGCCACAAACAGACGGCACAAAGGCTGAGGTGCTCCTCAGGAGGGGAAGGTGTGYGTGGGTTTTGCAAACCCTGCCGGGTTTGAGGTGTCTCTGCAGCAGAGCAGGGAGAGCTGGGGAGCTCCAGAAGCTGCCACAGACCTTAGAGAACAGAGTGTGGGAGCAGAGGGAAATTCTGGCTCCTTTTTCCCGGAGTAACACCAGAAACTCTCTTAAGGGCTGGCACATCATGCTGTTGTTTGTGTCTCCCCAGCACACCTCATATYTCACCTTGGGAACAGCAGTTGCTAACCCTGGGTCCCTGCAGAGGAACCATCGGCTGCAAACGCTGTTGAAACCCCACAGAATCAGGAGAAAAACCTGCACTGCTGTGGTTTTGGAAGGTTTCCGCTTCAGAAGGTACCGGTGTGAAGTGCAGCCACCCTGCAAAGCARATTTCACCTGCCCCCATCTGAATTCACTCCTCAGGACTCAGCTGAGCGTGTGACAACTGCTGCTGGGATCACCAGCTCCTGTTTTAAATGACACTGGTTTAAGTTAGAAGTATCAAAAGTGTTGGATTAAGAATTTTCCRCTCTGAAATATAGTGGGATAAAATTCCTGTTGTCTGATTGGGGGAAAAAAGAATTTTCCAATTTTTCCAGACCAGGCCTTGTGCAGAATTACTGCATTAAATCAATATTTTCTTTTTGAACTATCACTGTGGGGTTTTGGTTGTTTTTTGGAGTTTTTTTTTCTATTTTTTTAAAAATAACTCATAATTTAAAAGGCAAATAAGTCAAAAGTTTCTGACATGGACTATAAGGCTATATTTAGACACACATGTATGCATCTACTAGAGCAGAATATCATTACTCAAAAATTCACCAAGGCAATCAACTGAATTGACCAAACACTCATCTTTAACTACAATTGCTGCTTCTCTCAGCATTCCTACTGGAAAATCATTYGAGTTTAGTACACATAYCCYAGCATGATTATCTTCTTCTTTTTATCCTTTAGAAAAATATCAATTTGCAGTGAAAAAATTCAATGTAAGAACTGAAAAGTGTTTACTTTCAGGTCAAATCAGCACCATGCTGCTGTATTATGAATTTGTATTTGCTTGTGAAAGATCTGTCCTGGRTTATTGAATTGTGTGGTTCCCCTGTAAATGACCAGGATGATATGGATTGCTTTTTTCTTCATTCATTTTTTTTCTCTTGGAAAAAAATTAGAAAGCAATACTTTTGTATGCAGAATTTTCAGGTTGGTTTGTCTGAGGTTTTTTTTTTTAATTGAAGTTTTAAACAAGATTAACGTGCTTTTTGAAGAAATGAAATATTTTCTTTAATTTATGGTAAATACTTGGATGTCTTTTCTTGTAAAACACAATACAGCTGCATTTAGCTAAGCGGACATAAAATGTCMTTTAGAAAATAGAAGCAAACATCTTTTCAAAAGCAAATAATTTTTAATTATAGAAATGACATTTCAATAAATGAGCTGTCTTTTCAGTCAGTGATTAATATTTTTTTTCACTTTAAGCATCCAGATTTTAGAAGTGTAGGACATCAGCAAATCTTTCATTTCCATTGTAATACAGAATGCTCAGCTTTTTGAAAACCCACTGCAGATATCAGGTCTAAATACTGATCTAATGGACTATCTATGTCGTACTTTTGGAGATGTGGTTGATTTTTCCACCAAAGTCTCTCCTGGAGGCACCGTGGGTTTGTCAAACCTTCTTCCCTCTTTGCTGCTGGTGTAGCTGGTTCAAAAGGTCACTGGATCCATCACCTTTTTCCCGAGTTAGAGGTGGGAGCAGCAGATCTCCAGGGCAAACTTTGCTCCTCCCCAGCGCACGGCGGGTGCTGATTCCTGTTTCCCCTGTGGAATTTTGCTCTGTGTGCCAAACCAGCATGATGGGAGTCACGGGCACGAATGAGGCACCTGCAGCTCTCAGCAGTGCCTGGGCTAAGAGACGAACCAGGATTTTTCCAACAGCAGATGGCAGCTCTCCCTTGTCTCTCTTTCATGCACACAACACATCTGTCAGTTCTGAGCAGGAGAAGCAATTAATCCCTTCTACAGATTTCCATGGCATGAAGGTATTGGACCACCTGCCTTAGGTGCTGACGACAGAAAATCCATCCCACGGGACCCCTTCRCTGATGGGCTGTCAGTGTGGAAGGATCTGCCCACAAAGAAAGGGACATCCTGTGCCAGGAGGTGTAAGGGGTACCTTGGGTCCCTCTCTTCTTGTCTCAGGTGTGGAAGATAAGGGAGCTGTAATCCACCTCTAAAAAAAGTGAGATTTGCAAAAAGCATCAGTGCCCTGGGTTCGGTGGCKGCCTTCAGTGCTTTTGTTTGCCCAGCAGTGGGGCTCCAAAGCAAAGCTCACRTTTGCTTTGACAGTCTGGTTCTCAGAGTGATTTTGGGGAGCACACACTGGGTGCTTTCTGGGGAAAGGCAGTGAAACACAGTTCCACTCTGGCACTTCACGGAAACATCATCYTCCAAATCCCTGTGTGGGCTGCACTGCTGTGAGATCCTCCAGCAATTCACAGAGCACATGGGCTCAAAGAAGACTCTCAAACCACTCAGAGCTCCCACAAGATCCTGAAGTGGGTTTTGTGCCTATATGAAAAGGGCCAAGTGCCACAGGCACCTTCCCATTTGCCAGCATTCGCCTGCCTTCCACTCTGCCACCACTTCATCATCCACTGACACTTCTAGTTTGAAATCCTTCCCTCTCTTCAGCTGCTTTCCCTTCTGTTGTCAGTCCCRCTTGCTGAACCCCTCGATTATTTTATCAGATCTTTTTCTTACTATCCATTTGCCAACTGTTCTCTCTTCTGCCTTCAGCCTCCTGCAAACTCAGAGAGCTGAGACTTGGGCCCCTGATGGAAGTGATGGTGCTTTTTATTCAAGGAGAGGGACATGAGAGGGACGAAGAAGCAGCAGAATAATTTGCTGGTGGAAACRGAAGATGTCATGACTGCTCTCAGTATGAGCAC